AGCCCGCGGCGGGAGGCCAGGGTCCCCGTCGGCAGCGGCGCGCCTCGCTGGTGGTACGCGATGGGATGTGAGGTGGGGTCTCTCTCCCCAAACACAGGCCCAGGCAAATGACAAGAAAAGCATGAGACAGAGTCCAGGTGACGGACACTCCACAGAACGCTGAGCTGAACTGAAACCTGTCAGGACTACTGCAAACAAGGGACGTCTGCGAAGCAGTCACAGCCACGAGGAGCTTCTGGGGACAAGGCGGCGACGAGTCACGCGGCGCCTGCAGAGGCTCCCGGAGCGGAGACGGACGGACACGCGGGAACTAAGGACGAGGCGCGCACGTCGGTCAGTGACGGCATCCCACGCTAACGCATGGTGTTAATACGGGAAACGGGGATACGAAACTCTCCAGCAGCCTCCCAGTTTTCCTGTAAATCTAAAACTGCTCTATAAATGAAGCTATTCTTTAAAATACTGAAGAATTTTAAGTTAGATTTCTCCAACCATGTAAACACTGACTAAAGATTTCAGCGTTTCTAAACGTTAAAATCACAAGCCCAACAGAGCAGAGTCTCTTTAATGCCACAGATCAAAAATAAGACAAACACAATAGCGATGAGAACTGACAGACAGCCTCCCGGGTCACTGGTTGAAATGACTACGTCCAGCTTCTGGCAGACAGGGCGGACCAAGTGCCCTCCCAAGCCGCCAGGAAAAATGGACGACACATGGAAAAAAACCTGTGCTGAGACCTCAAAGGAAGGGAGGTTCCCGAGGGGCCGCAGGGCACTGCTTCCTTCCAGGGCCCCGCCCACCCCCACCTGCTCGAGCTGAGCAAGCCCTCGGCAGGGAGGGGACTGGGGACAAGCTGCCAGCCCGGCCCGGCAGAGAAGGGGCCCTAAAGCGGCACAAACAAGTAACTGAGTGAACAGAGAGCAGGAAGGCGTTTCCTTACAGCAGGCCCTCAGCAGCAGCGCAGGAGGACTGCAGTTAGGGGAACACCAATTTGGCAACGAGCATGCTGAGAACGAGTTCAGCCGAGCACACCAGCAGACCCCAAAACCGTTCAAGGTCTGAGGAGGAAACGGACACTTACATGGTTTCAGAGCACCTCCCCTGAAGACATTAGCTACAGGGAGAAAGGGCACGTCTCGGCCAGGTGACCGCAGCCAGTCTAACCGGCGACGGGACAACGGGAACCACGTGCCACCTGACAAGACGTGACGATGTCCCTGACGCTCCTACCGTGACACCAGGAAACCGCACCCTAATCGTGGGGGACACCAGACAAAGCCAAACGGAGGGACATTCGGAAACAACCATCCTGTGACCTTCAAACACGTCAAGGTCTTGAGCGTGAAAGAAGCCCAAGACCTGCTCAGACTCAGAGACTCGGAAGAGACGAGACGATTAAACGCAGCCCCTTGCGCTGGATCAGACCTGTCTGCTCTGAAGAACATCACTGGGACAGCTGACCAGCCTGGGCCGGGGCCTACGGATGACGGCAGCAGCGCGTGGACGTTATTTCCTGACTGTGGCGGCTGTGTTGAGGCCGGCAGGACAACGTGCTCGTCTGGGAGAATCGCACACAAAGCCGTGGTTCTCAGACCTCGGTGTGTGTCAGCATTGACCGGAGGCCTCCTTAAAACAGGCTCGCTGGCCCCGTCCCCAGAGAATCTGGCCCAGCAGGCCTGGACCGGGGCCTGAGAGGTGCCAGCGAGCGCCCCGGTGGCGCTGCCACAGGGGCCGCAGTCGGGGACCGTGCGCACTGAGGTGCTGGAGATGACGGCGTAATGTTGGTCACTTACTCATAAAGGTTCGGAAGACATTATTTTTCTATTCTCGTTATTTCTGTAAGTTAAAAAAGTAGAAAACAGAATCTAGCACAAGTAAAGACCATTCGTAAACAACGAGGTGAGAGCCCGTCGTCAGCAAAGCCTCCTCAGACGGAGGACGTGCCCCTATGTGCAGGTGTGGAGACCCGGAGGGAGACCCACGTGGGCGGCCGGCACGACCTGACTGCACAGACGATGACCAGTGTCCCCAGGGCCTAAAACACATGAAGAACTACGACACACGACAGAACCAGCACGGAAGACAGGAGTGGGGCAAACGGAGGTACAAGTGCTCTAAGGGAACCAGAGGACTGCTAACCGGCCCCAGGAGCTCACGCATCAAGGGCGACCTGAGCTACCAGGTCGGCCACTAAAGCGACTGAGCGCTGAGAACTGGTGAGCAGACGGGAAACGGGATGAC